TCTCATCTTCAGCTACAAGCTCGGGGCAGGAGGGTCGGGCACCACCTGGCGAGGGAGAAGGCGAGGTCCTCGCCGCGAGGATGGAGGTTATCCCGAGCATGCGGGCGCGCGCGCGGTTAAAGTGACGGGGCAGCGGTCGCCGACCCCCCGAGGGGGCATCTCGCGAGGTCCGTCGAACCGAGAGACATCCTGGAACCCTTCGCACAACGGCCAGGGGGAGTGGCCATGAAACGCATATCAACGCACGCCTCCGATCGGGCCCCTCGGCGCAAGCGCGTCGGGGCATCCAGCGCGAGCTCGGCGAGCCTCCGAAAAATCGGCTTCCAACCGCAATCCCCCGCCCGCCCCTGCCTCCAAGCGCCGCCCCAGTCGGCGATATTGGAGCCGCCCGGCGGCGCGAGGCTCAAGCGCGCGGGGCCAGCGCGCGCCGACGCCGCCTGGTCATTGGTGAGCTGCCGAATTCTCCAAACTGCGAACACTCCAACGGAACGTGCAAACAATGGGGCAAGTGATTTTCAGCCGTAAAAAGTCGCCCGAGAACCACCTCCTGAGAGGAGGCCGTTGAATGCCCATCAGCCCAGGGACCCGACGGAACTAAAGCGCCCCCCCCCCCTGAATGTGATCCTGGCGCATATGAGCTAAAAACTTCATGCGAGACACCTGCGCTCTGGCAAGCTTCTTGAACGGCGGCGGGCGAGCCATGAGCCCCCTGCAGACTCGCAACTGACCGCGCAGACGCCAACGCCGTCATAACCCGATGCCGACAACCCGCAGCAAAAGAGCTGTGGTGACACAGAGCCCGCGAGTTCCGCGTGACGCACAGAAGCGTCTTGCCGTCGAACCACGTGCTACCCGCACCGCTCGATATGTTTAGGCGCGAAGCAGCGCTTGCCAACCTCCGCCACCGTTGCGAAGTCAAGACCCATTTCCACGATGCGGTTTTTGTTCCACTTGATCTTATGCGGGTCATGAGGCGAGAACTCCAGCTCTGCGATGGGCCCCCATTGGTAGGTGAGGACTCCAGCCCCTTTGTCAACAAACAACAAGAACACCCGAGGGAGAGTGCACTCGCTTTCAAGCGCTGCCCGCAGGGCGCGACGGGCCTTCTCACGAGCGACGTCGCACAGGTTCTTAACTCGACTGATGATCATCTCAATGCGTCTTTCTCTAGGGCCGATAGCAGAGAACTTGCTCCACGCACCAGGGCGCAGGCGAAGAGCAGCCGCGTGCGAGCCTGGATCGTCGCAACCCATGGGCCTTTTTTCATCCGCAGCTCGAGATTATATCCTAGCGCTGCGCCTTCCAGCTTGCGCTCCTGGCCGAGGGAGTACGAGCACGCGTCGAGCCACTCTTTGATGCCGTCAGCCGCCGATGAAACGCCGACCTCTACACGAACCGATATTGTGAACATGCTTACATCAATCTCCTTGTCCCATTCACCCGTTTTTTTCCTGGCAGTCCGAAGATGTCATAAGAGGAATAACTTTCGCCAAATCTACTTCGTGCTCCAAAACCTCCAGGCGCTTGACCAGCGCCCGTTGCGTCTCCTCCACCGTGTCCATGCGCTGGTTGGTGGCCGCCTGCTGCTCTGGTACCTGACGGAACAACGCAGTGACCTTCTCATCAAACTTCCGAAGCATGGGAGCCGTCGCCGACACCAGAGCACCAGAGATACTCTTTTGTAGCGATACAACACACACAGCTGAGACCTCCGACATGCAGGACTTTCCGCAAACAGCTCACGATGAAGCGCTTCCACTTGCCTTTGAAAAGCAACACCCGACCACGAATCATCACCTGAGCCGCGAGCACCCATTCCCATCGGTCGGAAGAAGTAGGTAGAAACATGAAGTAGGAAGGCGTTGGAAATAGATTGGGTTTCCGCACGCCCCCTGAAGAGGAAGGAAGAGGGAAAACCACTCGACTCTTGAAGTAGGAAGGCGCTGAAAGTAGATTGGAATATGGGAATCCAAAAATACCTACTTTCAACGACCGATGGGTTCAGGTGCTCTCGCCAGCCACTGGTGTTCCAGGACACATTCCCGGGGTCACCGCAGTAGGAACACAGGAGACACCAACGCCAGGCAAGAGCTCACTTCCACGCGGCGTGTCGATCTCGTGCACCAGGGGAGAAGGAGGAATTGCAGCAACACCCGCTGCGGCCATCCGAAATTCCTGCGACGGGACTACGGCGACAGATCCATGCCGATTTCTTGCACAACACACGCCAGGGCACCAGCAACCGCATCACGATTGTTGCCTCCATGACCTTGGCTACCGCCAGCCTCCACGTCGATAGGCCCACGAAGACCACGCCGTGCGTCGTCCCAAGCAGGTGAAGGCGAACCGCGATCACTGCGGGAACGATGACCCTCAGCAGGAACGGGGGCAGCACTGACGCCATCAGACCCACGAGCAAGGTGGCGACCGCTATCTTCATACTTGTGTCGAGGACGAAGAGAAGACTCATATGACCCGTAAGCGCCCACAATATGATCATCTGCGCGATGCCGCCGAGAGCGCCGGGGAGTGTCAACCTTGGAACTGGTGCGGCCCAGCCTTTTCTCCTTCTTGGACTTCTTCCCCTTCCGCTCATCGCCCGTAGCCCCCATGCTGAACAGAGCAGCGCTGGTCCCCGCACGAACTGGAAACTCCTCAATCTTCCCGCGTGAGTCAGTGCTGGTGCGGGACAAGAGAAGTCGCTCCGACAGGAGATCGCAAAGACGTCGGGATCTGGCCTCGGACTAGAAGTATCCACTTTCTGTCGAAGGACAACAACACCTTGAGCCAAAATAGCTGCGGAGGAGGAGGAGGGGCGATGCCGCTCTCACGGCCGCGGCGAAGGGTGCCATCGAACCGAACGAGCCTCGGCTGGTAGAGGCCCACCACAAGCAACACAATAGCCGAGCACGCCCGTCCGTCAGAACCTCGCGCTGGGGCCCACCACGCAGATGCTGCCCACGTCGGCGTCGACGGAGGTAGGTCAACCGTGTACGCGGTCTGCGCTCCGCCGTGCTCGGCTGGTAGAGTCCCATCAGGGGCAGAGCAACAGCCGAGCGCGCCCGTCAGTCAGGCGTCCCGGTTTTGGGGAGGCCACGCGTCTGAGAAACTGGGCCCCTGCAGCACAAGTTCCGAAAATCCGAAGAGGCGTGGCCACGAGCCTGCCGTCGGCCGAAGCCCTACACCCCGCCGCGCTCGTCCTGGGCAGGCCGTGCTGCCCGGTGGAAGGGGGCGAGGGGAGAAGCAGGCAGAGGACGACGAACGCGCAGGCGGGAGGCCAGGGCCGGCGGGGCGAGCGGGCAGGCGGAAGAGGGGCCAGGAAGGGACGGCAGCCAGGGAGCAGGAGGACAGGAAAGGGAGGGAAGCAAGGAAGAGGAGGAAAGGGGAAGCAACCGCGAGCGACAGGCTGGGCCACAGGCAGGGAAAGAAGGGCCACCCGCGACGAGGCTACGGACCCTACGGCGGCGACGCCGACCAGGCGGCGCAGGCGTAGCGGTGGAGTGGGCGGTGGGTGTCGGGGGGGGGGGGCGTTGGCAGTCGTCGGGAAGGGCCGTCGGGGTCGTCCAGAGGCGGCGTGAAGTGGCCGACAGCGACCAAGAGGAGGAGGAAGGAGAGGAGGAGGAGGAGGAGGAGGAGGAGGAGGAGGAGGAGGAGGAGGAGGAGGAGGAGGTGGATGAGGAGGAAAAAGGAGCGGAGGACCAGAACGAACAGCAGCTGCAGTAGCTGGAGTTGAAGGGAGCGGGAGGAGCATGAGAACCAGGGGAAGGCGGAGGAGGGGAACGGAGGGGGGATTGGGGCGACAACGATGAGGAAAGGCTCGTGTCCAGACAAATGGCCCGCGATGGGGCGAGAGCTCCATCCTGAACGACGGGAGCAAGCCGCCGCTCCTAAAATGAGGCCCGCGCTGCAGCGGCAACACCATGTTGATAAACGGCCAGACGGTAAAGCGACACACGAGAGACCAATGTTTCTGTTTAAGTTTGGTGTTCATTAGGTTTGATGTTCATTAAGTTTGGTTTTCATAGTTCCGTCGGGCCCCCCTCCGCTATTTCCACTTGCGGCAGCACCCATCTGCCCCTCGGTGTGCTGGGTGCACGTGAGGGCAGCGCTTTTAATCTCGGGGGCAGCGGGGGGGCCCTTCTACGGGAGCGAAAGAACGTGTTACTCCACGCAGCAGCAAAAAGTTTGTGCCTGCGGGATGCGACACGAGAGACCAACTGTTGAAACCTGGTATGGGAGCAATGCGCCGAGGGGGGCGGGCCGCTCCCCGGCTGTCTTTGGAGGAGAGAGAAGACTAGCAGTCATGCCGAGTGCTGCAACAGGGGAGGGGACACAGGCAGTGCGCGGGGGGGAGGCCTCCCATCCCCGTCTCCTCTTCCTGGCCCTCCCCTGCGCCGTCCCCACTCGTCCCCTTCCTCTCCACCGCCCACTCCCTGGAGAAGAGCGATCCAGGCCCAGGCCACCTTCCTTCGCCTCACCCAGCTTCATCCTCGCCCCCTCCCCTCGCACACGTTACTCCCCCCGGTTGTCGCCATACCCTCACCTCTCCTCCCTCATCCCCGCCCCTCAACTGCCCTATCTCTTCCTCGAATCGGCCGATGGTCACCGACCGTCCGTGCTGATGCCGTGGTCCCAGCTTCTTGTCGCCGTCCACTCGAGCCGACAGTGCGAGCAGATGAATCATCGGCTGCGGCTGCATCAGTCAACCGGCAACGCCACTCGACCAATATCGAGAATACGCCGACGAGCCGCCAAACCGCCAAACCACCAAAGCGGCCCACTCACACATGGAAGCCAAATCAACCTGGCTTGGAGGCGCACCAGCGCAGCGGTAGCAGAAGTTGCAGCAGCAACAGTCTTCGGCAACAGAGGCACCAGCGACATTCAGTTGGCTAGCATAACCATGTATCTCAAGCCAAACTGCTGCCCCCACTTTGGCATCACATGTGCCCCACCCGTCAGATGAGCGAGAGAAAAGCGCCGTCCTTCACAGCCAGCATCTCCCTTTCTCTCTCCTCGACGAACTTCCTGATGGTCTCCTCCTCCTCTTTTCGTTGTCTCTCTTCCTCCTCCGCCTTCCTCTTGTTTTCTGCTTGCTCGGCGGCCTCCCTCTTGGCTGCCTGCTCCGGGCTCTCCATGACCCACTTCCAGCCCTGGTTGCAGTGAGTCTTCGGCACCTGGCGAAGGAGGCGCGGGTTCGACTCAAACGCCCTCAAGAGAGGATGGGGGTGGATTGGGTGGAGGGAGGAGGGGGAACGAGGGACGAAGAAAGGGAAGTGCTGAAGCGATCGCCGCGAGATGCCTCCGAGGCTCCCTGGTGTCAAAGCCGCAAGCGGCGGCGCTTTTACGGACCGTCATCCTGCTCTGCCGTGCTGATTCAAAACGTCGGGGGAGGAGGGGGGAGGGGGAGGCGGAGGGAGGGGGAGGATGGAGTATAACGGAAAACGGACACGGTGAAGGCGAGAAGGTGATGGTGGAGGAGATGGATGGATGCGCGGCAGTGACAAGCGCAGGGGCCGCGTACGATTGGGCGCTGGAAGGCTGTCCCCAGCCCCGTTGCGTCGATGACGACGGGTAGCTTCTGCCAGTCCCTGGGCCCCGAGGGGCCGTCGATAATAATGCAGTGGCCTCCTCTGGGTTGTCTGGGTCGCCAGCCCGCGCATTGCCGGGCGCGGCCGCGCCCCCGCCGGCGCTGGCCATGCACGCGCTCGCATTTCCGCGACCGTGGCCCCACAGCCGCGTTTCCGATGTTGCCGGGGGGCGCGTTCAGCCAGGTGCCCAAAGCTACGCGCGCGGTCCAACAGTTCGCCATATTGTTGTCGGGTCCGCGGCGTCTGACCACGGAGAGGCCGAAGCATTTGCGCGGCCCTGCCAGGACCGGGCCCTAGGGCTCTAAAGAGCACCGTTGCGAGTAGCTGAGACTTCGGAATGGCAAGGCCGACTGAATCAGCCACGAGACGGGCAATTTCGAACCGGGCGAGGATCGAATCCGTTCTCTCGCCTGGTTCGGGCCCGAAGTCTACGAGCGCCGTCCCTGAGCTGTCGCTCGTCCTCGAGGTTCTCGAATTTGCGCCTAGTAGAAACCTCGCGCGCGTGGCGGGGTCCGCGCGGACACCTTGCGTCGCCGCGCCGTAGTTGATGATCTGGGGGGGGTCGCATCGCAACGGCGCGCGCCACCCCGCCCAGACCGCGCTGCAAGCGGGCGGCTTGGCGCCGCGGGGTCGCGAGGAAAGATGCGCTTCCTGAAAGGTCCCAGCACGGGCCCCGCGTTGCATGATTGCCTCCGCCATTGTGTTTACCGCGTTGCATGCGTCCTATAGCACGTCCAATGACCAGCCGAATAATGCTGAAGGTAACGCACTTTCAGCAGCGATTCCATGTGGAGCCCTGAGCATTATTTTGGTCGTCTTCGGAATGTCCATCGCCGTTAGGCAGCGGATTGGCTGCGGAGGCGGAGCGGTTCAAAAGCATGGGGGTCGCGCATCCGCGCAGTGGAGGCTGGCGCCTGATTCTGTCCCCAAGCTCGTCGTAAACCGGACGAAGTGGCGCAGGGCCGGGGCGTGTGCGCTTTGCGGAGTGGTCAGGCGGATGTCGCCCAGAGTGGATATAGCGCGTCCGCTGAAGGCGTTTCCGCCTGCGTTCTGACGTCGCAGCGGCGTTGGCGGCGTGCCAAGCCGCGCTGCGGATAAGTATTGCGACAGAAAGAGCTGACCACAACTCAGCGGGGGCAGCCCCGCTACCAAGTAAAAGGCAGGATGCGGACCATGTGGTAAGAGGTTTGGAGGTGGATGTAAGATGGTGCATCTTCCAAGGGATTGATCGATTCCTGTTTCCAATGCAGTAGTAGATTGCCGCGTGCACGGCCAATCTGGGCAAATAGGGCACCGGCGTCTTGAGCCAGACGTCGACGGCGGGCTCGCTATGCTCGCTATGCACATGCCCTTCTGACCCCCTATGTCAGAGTCGTCATGCACATCCCAGTGGGAGGGCGGCCCGATGCTGATCATCTGGGCCAGCATGACCTGCTCGTCACCGTAGTCATCTCGCGCATTGTAATGAGCGAAGATGGTAAGCTGTAAGTGCACAGTGGCCTTGAGCTGTAAGTGCGCAGTGGCGCTTATTTTTTACATTGGATTTTGGCATTGGATTTTAGCATTGGATTTTAGCATTGGGTTTTAGCATTGGATTTTAGCATTGGATTTTAGCATTGGGCTTTAGCATTGGGTTTTAGCATTGGATTTCGGTACCGTGCCGGGCGTTCTGCAAGACTTTCAGCGCCGCGGAATTCGGCGCGCAAGAATTCGGCGCCGTTAGCAGTGGATTGTAGCATTCGCTTTTACACTGGATTTTAGCATGGGATTTTAGCATTGGATTTGAGCATGGGCGCAGCGGATTTGGGCGCGCAAGCATTCGGCGCCGTTAGCATTGGATTTTAGCATTGGATTTTAGCATTTTAACATTGGATTCTAGCATTGGATTTGGGCACTGGATTTTAGCATG